TTCTGTATGTAGGCATGACTGATGACAGTACTGGCCATGGGTGATCAACTCAACTGCCAGCCCCTTTCCTTCCCCAAGTTTGGGGGAAAGGACTGGAAGTTCAACCTTCTCATCATGCCTCAGTCTTTCTGATGACCAGCCCTCATCCTGAAGCTCTGTAAGGGTGCAGCCACCAGACATTTCATTGGCATACAAAAGGTACTTTTTTTTTTTTTTTTTTGAGACAGGGTCTTACTGTGTTGCCCCGGCTAGAGTCATCCATTGGTGTAATTATAGCTCATTACATCTTCAATCTCCTGGGCTCAAGCAATCCTCTTGCCTCAGCCTCCCAAGCTAAACTACAGGTGTACACCACTATGCCCAGCTAATTTTTGTATTTTTTTGGGGCAGATGAGGTCTTGACATGTTGGCCAGGCTGATGGCGAACTCCTGGCCTCAAGCAATCCTCCTGCCTCAGCCTCCCAAAGTGTTTGGATTACAGGCATGAGCCACCATGACTGGCCTCACAAAACATTCTTAACACCCCAGAAATTCCAAAACTTTTAGAAGTTGTTTGCAGAGTCAGATACCAAATAAACATTTCTTATTATATCATCATGTCACATTTGCAGTTCAGGCTACAGTAACAGAAAGGCCAAAATGAAGTAACCCAAACAAATTTCTTTCTCATGTAAACATTCAACTAGGTTCAGACTGTGTCCAGGGTAAGCACGGCGGCTGGATGGCATTAGTTACCCAGATTCTCGGCATCATAGACCAGGATGGCTGCTCTGCGCTTCATTGTCAGGTGGAGACAGAAAAGAGAGAGTGGAAAATATGGGAGGATGTGCTCATTCCCTTGAAGGGCATGATTCTGAAGTTACGTGCATGGCCTCTACTCTCCAACCATTGTGGAGAACTTAATCACAGTGTTGTACCTGCAAGAGACTGGGAAATGTAGTTTTTATTTTGGGCAGCCTGTGACCATCTGAAAGTCAGGGATTCCATTATTAAAGGAAGAAAAGAGAAAGTTCTGTTTAAGTCGAGGGCATGGTTTTGAGTTCCATTCAAGCCTTACCAGCCATACCCTCAACTTATTTTGGCCTCAACTGTGGCCCACTTGGTAAACATAGTGATGTATGGTTAAACATAGATGTCCGTTGGTGATGAAGCACATTTTTTTAGTACCTGTACCCATAAGATTTTTCTTTGTCCTTTGTTTTTTGTTTTTTTGTTTTTTCATTTTTTGAAATAGGATCTGTGTCGCCCAGGCTGGAGTGCAATGGCACAATCACAGCTCACTGCAACTTCCGCCTCCTGGGTTCATGGGATTCTCCTGCCTCAGTCCTACCAAGTAGCTGAGACTACAGGCATGCATCACCCCACCCAGTTAATTTTTGTATTTGCCCATTTTTTTTTGTTATAACACTTAACAACCGTACTATTTTTTAAATAAAATGTATTCTACACAATAGCAAATTTACATGATGTAATTTAAATTCCATCATTTACAATGGAGAAATGCCAATTATATAATATCATAGCCTTGCCAATGATGGGTTTTGATTTACTTATGCTCTTTACCACTTGGGAGGCTGTGAAGAATTTATTTGCCTTCTCTAAGCTTTCTTTTCCTTTCCGCAAAACAGGACTAGGACTAGCTACTTCATAGATGGTTGTGAAGACAAGCTGGATGACAGATGAAAGTTCTTGGCACAGAGTGAACACTTGATAACTTATATGGCAGATATGTGTGTGCTATTTGCCCATGAAGCTCACATTGTTTAATTGCTATCATTTCTAAAAATAATAGCCATAGAATTTTTTGTAGCATTTGTAAACCTATCACTTAATTCAGACTTCACAATACCCTGGGAAATAGGTAGAGCAGACAATACTTATTTTTCTGCTTTTCTAGATTAGGAAATAGAAGCTCAGAAAGATGGATTCACTTGTCCAAAGTCACAACCTCTTCCCTCTTGACCGGATCTTTCCTATGAGCATTGAAACCTGCCCCACTGGTTATCATCTAAAACAAAGGACAAAACAGTCCTCTTTCAACCCACAGCCCCTCCCCCTCAACACCCCAGTCTCAATCACCCTTGGCGGCCAAGCTCTCCAGGACTCAACAGCCACATGCTGCCTTCATGTTTTCACTTCCAGTTTATTCATCAGCCCACCCTACTTGACCTTCGGGTCTTCATTCATGTGCTCCTGGTAAGAGCTTGACTTGAAGTCCTCTGTTCTCTCTGACTCTGGCCTTAGACAATCTTGTCCATTCTTGTGGTTTCAAATGCCATCCCCAAAATTAATCACCAGCTCAACCACCTTTGCGATCTCCAGTTCCAACTACTCCTAGGGTGGGGGTGTGGGACTCTTCACAAGAGTTCAAACATTAGAAAAGAGAACCTGGACTGGGGAGGGGCAATAGGACAGGAAAGAAAATGAGAAATGGGAAAAATGCTTGCTGGGACTAGGACTTGGAGATTTTGCATGGCTGTGGGGTAAGGAGGGAGAGGGAGAGTCAGAGGTGACTCCTGTCTTGTTGACATTCACAGGAGGGCTGGAACGGGCTTTGTTTGAAGAGCAAGATGAGCCAAGGTTATAGACCTGAGTTTGGGGTAAGAGTGGAACATCTAAATGGAAAAGCCCATCAACTAGAAAGGACATTTGCTCAAAGGCCTTTTTCCTCAGTCTCCTTCTGCTGACCCAGGTACACATCCTCCCAAAACCCCCCACAATTAGGGCACTTGGTCAGCTTGAGACACAGGCAGAAGTAGGCAGAAGGGAAATATTTTTCTTTTCCAATTGGGGTAGATCGTTATTGCAACCTATGCCATATGGATAGCATCGCCATGAATAGCATTTTTGAAAGATTTCTGTAGACTTTGAGGGCTCCTGAAGGCATTTCTGATAGGGTTTTTAGAAGGCAGTAACAGGCAGAAGTGTGTGACCTGAGCTGCTTGTTCATGGCACTGGACTGAACCTAAGGAGAACTGACGAGAGTTGGCCACCCCAGAGAGTTTCTCAATGTCTTTTGTCATTCAAAAACCTATGATTTTATGATTCTATGAGGTCGATTTTGGAGATTTTTTTTAAAAAGTGCTGAAGAATTCAACCTCTGAAAACTAAATCTCTGAAAACTCACCTTACCGGAATTGGTCCCAGCAAGATAAGATTGTAGTTCATGCATGTGGCCACACAGGGGCAGCACACACAAACTCACCTTTTCTTAATCAGGCCCTGATTGGCTTTGCTTTTAGTTCCCACTGTCACCCCCTAGCACAGACTCTCAGCAACTCACCCAGATAACTAATTTTCGTGCTACTCAGGCTTCATCACTTCATTCCCAAGCATAAGAATACGGAGGGGACACCTACTGCTGGAATGCCCTTTGACCATGTCCTTGCCATCTAGTCAGTTACCCGTCTCCTCATCCCCACACCTTCCCTGCTAACTTCAGTTTACCCCTGTCTGACTTGTCTTGTCTCTCCCATCCCTGGCCATGATCTCCCACTTGGCCACCTTCTGACCTCCTGACCACTGTGTAGTCACCAAGATTACCTCCAAGATGCTGAGTGCTGGGAACGTGACAAATCTGTAATAGTATGAACGGGAAGGGGTCAGGGGTGTGTCGGGGGGGCTCCAGCTGTAGAGAGTCTGATCTTCAGGGGACCGAGAGTGGCATCTAGCCAATAGCTATGGGTAGTCCACCAATAATACTTTGAGAAACATTGACTTCCTGGATTTGTTAATTAATCTAAGTCTCCAATTTCTTTTCAGAAATGAGAAGACGTCAAATGCAATCTTGGAAACTGAGTGCTTCCTTGGCACGACTCCAGGGGGCGCCATTCTCAGGAAGTACGTTGTGAATGCCGTCTATAGAATTGTGCAACAGGGCAGCCCTGGGAATCAGGTTCCAGTCCTCCACAGGACACAGAATAAAGAAGCTTGGGACAGGGGTTCTGGAGAGGGCCTTGTAGGATGTGGGTGATGCTGGGTACACCCCAGCTTTGTAACCTTACGCCAAGTGCAGGTCACCTCCTCCTACTACTCAAGCAAGTCTAGAGTCTTTCTAGGGATAGGGAGGAAGTGTTGCTAAGTGCCCCTGAGTGCCTGCCCCCATCTCACTGCCCTGCTGGCCTGAGGAAAGAGGGGACCAGACTCTGGGCAGCCAGCTGGAGGGATGTGGAGACGGGGCCCCTGGAAGGGGCTGTCCAGCATCTCTATTCTTGTGCTTTCCTCAGACCCTACTTGAGCACAGCTCAGGGACCTGGTCTTCGGTGTTCAAGGACCTGGGCCAGTTATCCCTGGTGGTGTTTGAATTTTTTTTTTTTTTTTTCAGCGTCTCACTCTGTCGCCAGACTGAAGTGCAGTGGCACAATCTCGACTCAGTGCAGTCTCTGCCTCCTGGGTTCAAGCAATTATCCTGCCTCAGCCCCCTGAGTAGCTGGGACTACCGGTGCACGCCATCATGCCCAGCTAATTTTTGTAATTTTAGTAGAGACAGCGTTTTACCATGTTGGCCAGGATGGTCTCGATCTCTTGACCTCATGATCTACCTGCCTCAGCCTCCCAAAGTGCTGGGATTACAGGCATGAGCCACTGTGCCCGGCCTGATCTTTCACACCTGCAAAGGGACGGGGGCCACTTTAGGAGGTGGAGAGATGAGGACACAGGTGCTCAGAGTACCAAGCAGGTAACATCTCCCACTGCCGGGCGTCTGGGGAGAGCCAGCCTGAGAAGTTGGTTTCCCACCCTCCCCCTTCACACACACCTTTTGGCCTCCAAAAGGCTGCAGGTGGAGTGGGTAGAGGATGGAGGGGTGTTAGGAACTGGGGAATCAGCTGCTTACAAGGGGCACATAAATGCGAGGATATCATTTGCGGCCAACGGGGAGGGCAGAGATTGCCCCCCAGGTTGGCCTGGCGCTCAGGGAATTGGAGGCAGCGTCTATTTCAGAGTTTATGGTAAAAGGCTGGAGCCGGCACACACAGACAACATACCCCACCCTTTAAGGAAGTGGGGAGGAGAGCAGCAGGGGTGTGGTTAACAACTCAGAGGAGGAGGGGGAAACTCTAACCTGTCAGCCCTTTTACTCAGCCACAGCCTCCGGAGCCGAGCCGGAGCCGCTGCACACCTACCTGCCCGGCCGAACTCACCTGTAGTTGCCGCAGCCCCGGCTCACCTGGTGGGGCCGAGGAGCAGTCACTGCCAGAGTCCGCGCCTCCCTGGGTGAGTCCGTCCTGTGAGCCGGGGCTGTGCCCGGCAGAAGTTGGTGGCTTGACGGGTGGCAGGGCTTGGGGACGGCAATTCCGGGATCCCGGGCACCTGAGCTGGGAGTTCCCAGAGAAACAGCCACAGACCCAGGAAATGGGAGCCGCGGGTGCCGTGCACACGCCCGGAGCTCGCCAGCCTTCTGCGGAGAGAGGAGTTCTATTTTTGGAGTAAATTTGACACTATAGGGTGTTTCTCCCTCTTTGTCCTCTCAACATATTCAGACAGGGGAGGCTGGGGGTGACGGTGTGAGGGCACAGCCAGGCTGCCACCTCTAAAGATCAGGTTAGGGGCCATGGGGTGGGAGGGTTCAGCTCCTGCCTCAGACCTCTGCCTGCTCTTGCCCCACTCCCTGCTTCCTCCCGGGCCCTTCTGCAGCCCCTGGGGTGCTAGTCTCACCCCAGCCCACCCCCACTCCTCTGCAGCCACTCCTTGCCCCCTGAGAGGACATCTTTTGAATCAAGCCCTGACTGGAGGAAAGCAGGGCTGTTCTGGGGAACAGGGGGGCTCCTGTGTGTGTGTGTGTGTGTGTGTGTGTGTGCACGCGCACGCGCGCGTGTGAAGTTCACACTGGCCACATTGGTTCCTTGAGAAGCCACCTTCTGAGTGCTGCTCAAGGGTTAAGTTCCGAGCTGCCTCTGCCTGTCGTCAGGCTGCGCGTGGGCACCGCTTTGGGTGGGTGAACGTGGAGCAGCATATGGGTGATGTTCTGCAAGCCCTGCCACCGGCCCTAAGCCTCGACCACAAGACACCGGTGTCTCCCCACACCCCAAACTGGAAGCAAGTCGGCTAATTGAAGGGGCCAGTGGGAGGACAAGAGCAGAAAGTTGTGTCCAGAGGTGGCTTTAGCCAGGAGGGACTTGGAAGCTGGGCTGTGGCTGGACCTGGGCCCACTGGGGCAGTGTGCGTGGTGTGACCCGGTAGTGGGTGCACGGAGATCCCTCCATGTGGGGCGTTCCCTGCTCACCCTGAGTGCTGCTGCTGACCTGAGGCCCCATCTTTCACAACCACTCTGGGGGGGGGAGGAAGGCACTGATTAAAAAGTGACTAAAGGCAGAAGGGAGGAAGGAAGTAGTCACGCTGGAGAGCCCCAGCTTTGGCGGGACGGTCTGCCTTCAATCATTCAGGAGGCGCTCCCCGGCTTCCCACCTGCGGCCAGGTGCAGGTACAGGGTATGGAGACAGGGTGAGTGTGGCATGGCCTCTGTTCCCCAGGGCAGTGTGGAGTAGGGGGTGGTCAAAGGAGGGCTACCAGGGGGAAGGTGCAGGGTGCTACCCAACCCTGCGTTAGAGGGCTGTTGAGGAAGCCAATCAGCAATAGCCAGGAGGGCTTCCTGGCAGAAGTGACTCCAAGTTGAGAACTGAAGGATCAGTAGGAATTAGCCAGGGAAGAGAAGAGGGGAAAGAACAGCAGGTGCAGAGATCAGAGGCTAGAATGAAAGTAGCTGGGTTTGTTGGGAGCCTGGAGCTGGCAGGGGTGAGGGGAAGCGGCAGGGGTGAGTGGAGACAGCTCTAGAAGGCTTTGGAAGGCCTGCGCAGCTGCCATGGCAACTTCTGTGGGAGCAACACTTAGGACCTGGAGCCAGGCAGGAGACTTCCCAGCCGGAAGGGGTTGCCAGATCTAGCCAGTAAAAGCACGGAACACTCAGATTTGAATTTCAGGTAAGCACCAATTTTTTTTTTTCAATACAAGTATGTCCCATGTACTAGGTGGAACATACTTGTACTCAAACATTAGTCCCTGTTTCTCTGAAATCCACATTTAACTGGGTGCCCTGTATTTATCTGGAAACGCTGCTCTAGGAGAAGCTGAGGTTGGCACAGTGCTGGGAAGGAAGGGCTGGAAACAACCCAGGCACTCTGAGAAGAGTCTCAGGTTTACCTCATAGCCATTCCTCCTGGATTTTATTTTTGAGCTCATTCACTGATTGACCTTGTTATTTAAAAAAAAAAAAAATCAATTCCTTGGTTAGGAAGTGATTATCCATACAGGTGAAGGAGTATGGTACCTCAGAAAGAAACAGCATTAAATCCAGACAGATCTGGGTTCAAATCCATGTAGACTGGTAAGCTGCTCTGACCCTCAGAATGGTCTCTTCTCAAGTGAGAGCAGGTGAGCAGGTGGTTGGGAGGATCCCTGATAACGTGTGTGAATTGCCTAGTGAGTGCTAAAGGAAACGCAGTACGTATTTTGCAGCACCTTCACGGGGTGAGCGAAACAGAGTGCTTGGGTTCATTTACTTCCATAAGTGAGCACTCGGAGGCCTCAGGGGAGTTACATGGTGGGGTTCCTGCTTCCAGTGAGAACACGTGGGGTTAGCCCCCAGACGGTGGTGGGGGGGCACAGTCTGCATTATGGTTTTAGCTTTGCTGTTCCCTTCCCATATGACCTGCTTCAAGGGGTGGGGATATCTAACGTTCTTCTGGAAGGATGATGGGTGGGCAGAGAGCGAGAGTGACTCAAAGCAGATTAACTGAAGGGAAATATGAATGAATTAAAGGAGAGAAGCCGCATAAAATGTTCAGCGCAGACAAATGCGCCATGAAATCTGGCTGTCGTGATTCCCAGTTTTAGGATGAGTTCCTTATTAGAAAAGTAGTGCTAAGAGACAAAGGAAGTTAGGGTGCCTTGTGAACTGGATTCTGGCTTCAATGGGAGCATTTGTAAGAACAAATTCGGGTCCTCCTAAAAGGGAACCTAGAGCAAGTTAAGAATTGGTTAAGAGAAAGAGGAAATGGAAAGTGTGTTTCCCTTGTGGGAACTGCTAGGGTAAAAACAGCCCTTCTTTCCAGTGGCTAAGTCTCCCCATTTCGCTGTGATGAACGTTTCGTCGCGAGCCCCTTGGATTATTTGCCAAGTGGTGTTCAGAGAGACCCTGTGGCATGAGATGGACAGAGGTGTTCCATTGATGAAACGTTCAGATGAGCCTGCACTTGGACATGTCTTGCATATTTGCATGATCAAGATTATGATAAGTCCTGCATAAAAGACACGTGTCATTCCCTAAGTATGGCTATAGCACCCATGCAGATTCTCAGGGAAACAGCATTCCACACTAAGTGAACCGCGACATGAGTGCTGTTTGTGGACCAAGCAGGTCTTTCATTGCTCCTCTAGCCAGGATGGACCTAATTCATTCTAGGCTAGGCAGTGTCCAACTTAGAGAAGGTCTTCAAGGAAGGAGCCTGTGTGTGCAGCCTTTCTCGCATCATGCTAGGGACACAAACTCCCTCCTGTAGCAGCCTGAGTCTTTGCATTGCGGCTCCAGTGTTGTTTCACTGTGCAGAGGACCCTGGAGAAAGTCCAAGTCCCTTGGCACTTAGCACTCCATAGTGACAACAATAGCTTTGTGTGCCCCAAATCCTGCTAGGACAAAGGAAAGTGATGGTGAGGACTCGTAGGGGAGGGAGGCTACCCTGGGGCTACCCTGCATGGTAGAAACTCAGTCTCTAGTTTCCCCTGCCCGGAACCCATATGCCTCAGGACCATGTGACCCTGGCCTCTTAGGTAAATGGGGTTCCGAGGTAGATGGCCACATGGGGGATGGAGTAGAGATACATAGCTGCGATGTGCTTGGGGATGAAAGTGTGCTGATGAAGATAAGTTTTGCTGGCTTGAGGATGAAGAGTTTCTTGTGAAGTTTGGGTCAGTTCCAGAGTCAAGGAGAAAGAGCAGGGACAGCGGTGACTCTGCAACACTTTTAAGCCTTGTCTGTCGAAGCAGGTGGTCAACAGCTCAGGCTCAGAGTCAGTCTGCCTGGGTTCCAGACCAGGTTTGGGACCCCCGAGTGACCTTAGGTAGGTCATTTGGCCCTAGCTTCCTATCTGCAAGATGGAGACAATAACAGGGCTTTGGGTAAGGGTGGCGTGAGATTGTATATATTAGAGAGAGATTTAAAATATTCACAGCCACTAAAGCCTGAGCACAGATCAAACAGAACGGACACCACCATTACCCTGAGCAGGGTCAGAGAGGCCCCCTTCCATGCCATGCTCACCCATCAGTGCATCTTGGGGAGTCTGGGGGTGCCACAGGCCTTTGGGGACTGTGGCATGGCCATTTCCAACGAGGATGGACTATTTCAATACTTCAACTTCCCAGATGGTCTTGTACACCCGCTTGATAATAGCATTGAAGTACAATGAAACATTCAGTCCCCTAACAGGCACATGATACGCATCCAGTAAATGTGAGCTCTCCAGCGTTTTTACACATATGGCCATATCTGAACTGGTGGGGCAGCACCATTTATTTTTCCGTAGTTTATTGACCCTCTTCTTCGAGGCATCAGGCAGCTTCCCCCAAGCACTGTCTCACAAGCAGGCAGCACATATTCAGTGATGTTTCTTTCTGCCTAGCCTCGCTCTCAGTTCACTGTTTTGGGAACAGCCAGGCATAATTAACTCTTTAGACAGCGAAGAGACTGTGTACGACTGCCCATCGGGCACTGAAGTCCAGATGGTCATTTGAAGTGTTCCTCAAGCTGACAGGCAGGAGAAAATGGTGGCTTCACTTTCTGGGCCTCTTAACACTGTGTACAAAGCTCCGAGCCGTGCGAGGGGGCGGCAGAGGGGGAGGGGACAGCTCTTGGAGTCACTCTGCTGTTTCTCAAGGTATAATTATTACTCGTGGTGACAGCTGATTAAGAGCGCAGACTTGAGGCTGCATGATCTGATGCGCTTTTCACCTAGATGCATCGGGCAGGTTGGTGTGAATGTGGAGTTTAATTTTCAGGAGGCCCTCCAGGTAGGCTATAGGCGGGCTGCAGGGGTGGACACTGCTCTGAGTTTCGTGGTCATCATTGTGGGCTCTGACCTTTTCCCAGCGGTGCTGCTTTGATAAGGCGGCCAGTCACTGTGACTAGAACTAAGATCCGCAGCGGCCAGTACCTGTGAGAGGCCAGCCTTCCCCTTTCCTAGCTTGGCTGTGTTCACTAACATCTTCCCCTCTCCAGTTCT